TTCTCAGGGATAGTTGAAGATGGAAGATATGAAAGCATCAAGATGAGGATAACTAGTTTTGAAATCTTGAAAAGAATGACATTTAAACGACAATTGAGCCAAAGTAGATTCACATATCCAATGGCTTCCAGACAAGTTTTCACGATGGAGATGGATTTTCAGAAATTTTCTCAAATTTTAAATTTTTGAGTATAATATTTTCAAGCATATGTTCATGATTGATAATTTGAAGATGGAAGATATGAAAGCATCAAGATGAGGATAACTAGTTTTGAAATCTTGAAAAGAATGACGTTTAAACAACAATTGAGCCAAAGTAGATTCACATATCCAATGGCTTCCAGACAAGTTTTCACGATGGAGATGGATTTTCAGAAATTTTCTCAAATTTTAAATTTTTGAGTATAATATTTTCAAGCATATGTTCATGGTTGATAATGTTTGATTTTCAGGTTTGACCTTTGAAGCAAATCATCTATAAGCATTCACGGAAGAATAGTGAAGCAAACTCATTTTATGAAGATCGAGTCTTATACTCTCTGGTAGAATAGGGAGCGGACTCGTTTGGTGAAGATTGTTCGAGTTCTATACTCTCTGGTAGAATAGGGAGCAGACTCGTTTGTTGAAGATTATTCGAGTTCTATACTCTCTGGTAGAATAGAGAGCGGACCCATTTTATGAAGATTGTTTGAGTTTTATACTCCCTGAATGAATAGGGAGCGGACCCGTTTATTGAAGATTGATTGAGTCTTATACTCCCTAAATGAATAGGGAGCAGACACGCTTGTTGAAGATTGATCGAGTCTTATACTCCCTGAATGAATAGGGAGCAGACACGTTTGCTAAAGATTGGTCGAGTCTTATACTCCCTGAAGGGATAGGGAGCAGACCCATCATTCGAAGATTTTTCAAGTCTTGCTTATCCTGAAGTAATAGAGAAGATGATTAATCTTTTGAAGTTCTAATGGCCGGACAAACTTGATCATCTATTGATCTTTGCCCTATTCTCGTTATACGACAATGAGCAAAGAGGGGCAGCTGTAGATGCTCGTTTTTGTCCGAGGTCCAATACAAGATTCAAAGTGGATTGCAGGACTAAAATAAGTATAACAGTTTGTAACACCCAGCGAATAACCAAGTCATATTTTTTTTGGAGCCACGTAATAAGCAATGAGGCAAACAGTTATGGAAAAAGAGAGTAAAAACTGAAGAAAACAGTTTGTAAGTGGGGGGGGGCACGACTTAAAGAGCAGTTTTTGGGAAGAGTTAAAGAAAAAGGGGGGGTCAGTTTTTTAATGGGGATGAACCACTGAAAACGAAAAAAAAACACGATCAAACAACTAGAGATCACAGAGCAGAAAGGAGAGGGAACACGAACAGAGAAAAATTTGGAATCGAGAGAGTCAGAGGGGATTTTTCACACCAGAAGCGAAGAAAACAACAATTAGGGACTACCAGCCGAAGACTCCATTAGTCATCAACAATTCCACATTGTAGAAGAATACAAAGAGAGACAACAGTGTATCCTTACAATTCCAAACCAGAGAAAGCAATAAAATACAAGGAATTTTAAGGTATTCTGATTTTGCTTTCTTTTCGTTTTCTAGTTCTTCTTTGTGTGTTTGCATCATTTCAAAAATAGTAAAAGAAAGAAATCATCCATCAACATTGTAAAAAAAGTGGCTATTCTTAAAATCGACCACACAGTCGAATCAACAAGAAGTGACGAGCAGAATCATTCTTTCTCACTGTTACTTTTCTAAGACAGAAATCATAGCAAAGCAAGAGATTTCAAGAGATTTTCATTTTCCCCTTTCGTTTTATAGAGTTTCCATAAGTAACATGGTGTAAAGGGAATGGTAGCGTTACCTTAGTTGTCAGGGTCGTATCGTCGGAGTTCTTGGCCAATCTTCGAGCTTGTTTTCTCTCTTTTGAGGCTTGGTTTAGAGTTCATCGAGAGAGAGACGAGAAGGAACGTCGCTGTAAATGAAGGAGATGGGTGAGAGGTGTTGTTTGAGAATATGGGGGTTACGGCTGGAAAGAGGAAAGGAATTTAAGGTTTTTTTTAAAACTTGAAATTATATGCATAATGGCTTAATGAAACGGCAGCGTTCAGTGGAGCTGGAGTGTCCATTTTGCGTGTGGGTATCCATTGTAGGGGCCATCCGAACTTTCAGAGTCTTGCGTTTTGATCCTTAAATCATGGTTTTAGAGTTTCTGATTGTGTCTCTATATTTTTCCCGTATTTAATTTAAGTCCCAAGTAGTAGTTTATTTAATTTTTTGTTGTTTTAGACATTTGAACCTCATGTTGTTGCATGTTTCATTTTAATCCTGGAATTCACTTACTTTGATATTTTATTTGTTTGACGTGCTTCTTTTGAGGATTACAGTTTAGTCCTGCATACATTTGTGATTTTATTTTGATTTTAGTATATGAAATGTAATTATTAGTGTTCTATGACTTGAACTTTGTCTATTCTATGACTTTAGCCTTAAGAGTTATGTGTTTATTCATTTAGGTCATTATGTTGTTTCTTCATATTTTCATGATAACATGTAAATATTATGTATAATTTAATTACTAATGTTAAAATGGTCTGAATTTGTGTAGTATACTGAATTTTACATTTCTTCAAATTTAGTCACTACATTTATGTATATACTTTTTAAATTTTTAGTTTAGCATGTTATGTTTTTGTTTTTATATTTGATTCATATTTGTACATTGTATGTTAATAGGCATAGTTTATAATTTGTAATTAAAATATACGTATGTAATTTTTTTTTGTATGTCACGTTGTATGATATTTTTAATTTAGTTTAATTAATTTTGGCATGACATCCACTTTTTGCATAATTTGCATGATAGCCTCACATGCATAACTCGACTTATTACATAATCGGACTAAGGGTAATACCCTTTTAATTTAAAATTATTTTAAGTGGGCAGTCATAACTGATTTGAGGTCCGCTTTTAATGATTATAAAATAAAAGTGTATCCTATTAGTGACGCCTAAAAATTGATTCATCACTCTAAAATTTGGGAACGAAAGAAAAGGAAATGTTCGTTTATTTAAATTTATCGAGAAAAGGTTGTTATAACTTTTAAGATCTGGTCTCGATATTTGTAAATAATCGAACATTTTTTATCTTTCTAAAACGATTTGGTAATTTTAATTTAATTATTTTGAGTGCTTTTGAATGTTTTAAATTTACATTTTTATTTTATGGGATCAAAAATCAAAATAAATTCAAATTTGTAAAGTTCATTGCAAAGACGTTAATTAATCGACTAGGTACCGATTTAGGGCGTTGTGGGGGTGCTAATCCTTCCTCACACGTAACCGACTCCCGAACTCGGATTTTGGTAATGCAGACCTCAATTTGTTGTTTTAATTAAAATTAATTTTTATTTAAAATGATAAAACATTTTTGGGTGCCCAATCACACCCTAATCAAAGATTGATGTCGACTCTTTGAACAATATGTTTTTAACGTAAAGAGAATTTCAAAATTTTCGAAACGAGAGGTTTTTAAATCGCATTTATTTTTAAATTAAAAATCAATTGAAAGAGATAAGTTAAAAATTGATGTGGTTTTCAAAATCTAACATTTTTTCACCTATTGAAGAAAAAATCGTTTCAACACTAATTATTTAGAGTTTAACTCATAAAAGCTAATTAAAAGTCATTTTTGTTAAACAAGGAAACTTAATTCGATGAAGCTTGCACCAACTTCATTCTGCACCAGTACAACCAGCAAGGGGGTGTATGGAAAATCTGTCGCCGCGTAAGTTTATTATGACCCATTTTACTAGCACGTAAACCACTGCATTTTCTTGACACAACACATGTTGAAACTTCATCTGCTACTCATGTTTCAAAAGATGATGGCTCGTGGTTACATGAATGCCCTAACAAGCCCTTGATGTCTTTGACAGTTTTTGTAATAGAATGCTAAATCCAGCCGCATTTCCTTCACAACCATCATCCCCGGAACTTTTCTTCATCATTCTAAATCTGTAGCGGTTACATGGCAGTTGGTCGGTGTTCAGATCCTCTATTCTCATGAGGAGAGAAAGGAGTAGAGATGATGGTTGTTTAGTCTTATCTCTTAGTCTTGACTGAGAGATTTTATAGTGACCATTAGTATTGGTATGAGACATAAAATTGTATGGTTAGTCATAGAATAGTATGCCTAATATATACGACTGATTAACAATATATTTAATTTTAACAAATCATGTGAGTCCGTCAAAGGAGATGTTAAGAGATAATGGTTGGCCTGAGAATATCAAACTTCAAAGGTTTTGGTTTACTAAATAACGTATTCAAAGATTCGCCAGGGTATTATAATGGGTGGAGAATTGCCCCCGAGGTACAACAAGTCTAGATCACATGAGTCATGGCCTCATGGGTTTGCTCTGTTAGGCCTCATGGAGTGGGGCTCCAAGAAAGCAAAGTAAGACCTTTGGATCTCTGATCAACAGAGTTGACCACTTTGAATTGGTGCTTTCGAGTCACGACGGTTTAATAGGTACGTGTCTACAAGGTCTTGCGAAGAGGAAGTATAACGATGTTCAATGACATTTGAATTTCTTTTGGTGCTAGGATGATGATCCAACTCTGCATGCTTACGAGCATTACATTTAAGTTGGCTTTATAATAGCCTTGATGCCATCGTGCTGGTTTGAAATAATCCTAGTTGCCATTGAGTAGGCTTTAAAGAAGCTTTGAGGCGATGGTGTTGGCTCAAAATTTGTCTCTTGATGCATGTGTGGTGTTTGCGCGTAAATATCAAATTTTAATCTATTAATTGATTAATTTATATCGAATACTGTAAAGTACATTATAGGAGTGACTCCCAATCTAATTTTTCCATTAATAATATCAGAATTCAAATCATTGATATTGCTTAATTGATTTAGAGTCTTATCCACTAGACCCACTGTCCCACTGATTGTTAGGTGTACAAATATAATTTAATTAAACTTATGGTAATATACACCACCTCTTAAGAAAAATCTATCTGGCATAGAAAATCATCTGCTGCTGCATGCTACAGCGTTGTAATGACGCTGCAGCTACAGGCGTGGTTTTTCTGGAACCCTAAACCGTAACATAAGCACACATCTGGCGTGTTCGATCGAAACAACTGATAGGCGACTCGTTGTTGCTGCTGCGATTGATTTAAGTTGACAGATGAAAATCGAGACCGGTGGCAGCTGGGAAACGGAAGCCCAATAGAGAGTTCAAGATTGATTTGTAGGAAAACTTCTTCACTACTTAATCCACTGCTGCCGTTTGAATCTTCCGACGAGTCTGCTCCATTGTCTACGTTGGCAGGCACTTGCATCAATGGCACCACTGACTCTTTTGTTTCTAATCGTAATCTATTAACGTTGATCTTATTGTTGTTACTGCAATTGCTGCTGTTGATGTTAGTTGTTTTGTTTGTGCTGGAAACCGAACCGAGTGGACGGTGGGTTTGAGGATCGATCCCTCGGCTATACAGCTTTCTTTTGATATGAGTGTTCCAGTAGTTCTTGATCTCATTATCCGTTCTCCCTGGCAATCTTGCAGCAATCAATGACCATCTGAAACCAACAAAAAAGGCAACCCAGTTGAGATTTTAATGTTATTTACTCGAATCGATTAAAAAAATGAGAAAAGAACATACTTGTTACCAAGTAAGCTGTGAAGATTAATGATGAGTTCATCTTCTTCTTCAGTGAAGTTTCCTCTTTTGAGATCAGGCCTCAAGTAGTTTATCCACCTAAGCCTACAACTCTTCCCACATCGAAGCAAACCTGGAAAAAAACCAACACAAAACAATCAGAAAAACAAGTTCAAAAACGCTCTACTGCAATTCAACACATCATGATAATGAAAAACCAGCAGACCAGCAGCTTTGGGGAGAGATCTCCAACAGCCTTCTCCATGAAGTTTGATGTAGTTAATGAGACGCTCGTCTTCTTCCCTTGTCCATGCACCTTTGTTGGTATGTTCTTTCTCACAACAAGGAGATCTACCCATGAGGAATCTATTGGTTTTTGCTGTGTTTTTGAGTATGGAAGAAGATGGAGATGAATGAAGAAAGGAAGTGGTGGGGGAATATAAACAAAGGAGATGGATGCCTGTAATTGAATCAGGGCCCTCTTTGTTGTGATACTTTTTGTTATATGCAAAGGTTTTTGACCGAGTTGGTGAGGAGTGGTTGCAATTAAGTTGGTGCTGGATTTGGTAGATAGCTCTACTTTTCATTGTACTTTTTTTTTTACCATTTCGTCCTTTTTCTTTTCTTTTCTTTTCTTCTCTTCTCCGTTCTTTCATTCTTATCAGTTTCGTTTTTTGCACTGTATTTTTTTCTTGTATTTTCTCTACAATTTCTGAATATTCCAACTTAAAAATATAAATTATATTAGATTTTTTCATATGCACAATATAAATAAAAAATATTATAGAGATGGAATGATATAATAATCATATGGATGGAGTGATAAAAAACTTATACATAAATTCATTAATTTTATGTTTAATTATTAAATTTTTTAAATTATTTTATTTAACGATCCTCTAATAAATAAAATACGTTTTTATTATATTTAAAAAAACTGTTTTTAATCATTTCTATTCATCACATAAATTGAATGATCGAATTAATAACAACATATTATTTTATAACTTTACATTTAGTTATTTTTTTTTACCTTTTTATCATATTTCTTACAAATAAAAACTATTATTTATAATTTTTGTAATAAATTTTCACGTTATTTTTTCTCTTCTCATCAACAACCTACGTGTTACTTTTTATTTCTCTATGTTCATATTAGTTAAATAAAATATTTAAAAAATAATACGCGAGTTATTGATGAGGAAATAAAAAATAACGTAAATTTTTTTTTAAAAAATGTTATGTCATCGATATGTCAACGTCGTTGTTAAATTTTTAATATTCAGTTATTAAAATAGATAAAAACAATATCAATGATATTTTATAAAAGATAATTTGATGATCAATATATATATACCTATTGATTTTTATCCTAAATTATTTATAAAATTATAACACCGTCTTAACCACATATCTTAATTTATTAAATAAAATAAATAAGTTATCCCTATACTATTAAAAATCAATAATAAAAATATTTTTCCCATCCCTAAAAAATGTTTATAAAACCTTCCATTTCCATCTAAACCCTTGACTTGTGAAATCTCTTTGTAAAACAAAGACTCAATTGGACGTAAAAGTGAAAGAATAAATGTTTGGGCCAATAATTGTAAAATTTCAAAATAATTGTCCTGGTTGTGCAAAAGGACACTAAACACAGTTAGTGTTCTTTTTCTATATTCTTCCTCCGATATAGTCTTACTTTCCACTCTTTTCTATTTTTTAAAAAAATTCATTTATAATCAATCTTTAAAAAGGCTTCTAGAAGACCATATCAACTTCTCCCCCTCATACATATCAATTCCGGTAGGTAGTTTTTTTAATATTCTATTAGAAATATTAATATTTTTTTAAATATTTTTGGTAAAATATTATCTAAAATATTATTTTTTATCATAAATGTTAATTTCGTTATCTAATTTCAGGTATAAAAAATAACAATTTAAGTAGCGCACAATATTAACATTTTCGGTAGAAAAATAATGTTTTAGATAGCGTTTCACTGGAAATGTTAAATATTTTAAGTAACATCCAATATTAATATTATCGGTAAAAAATATATTTTAATTAACGTTTTACAGAAAATGTTAAAAAAATTAACATTTCCGATAATGTCTTTCATTAATCATATAGTAAATTTGTCGTACTTTAGACATTTCCAAATTGACTGGTAACTCTTTCTATTTAAATTAGTTTTGCTAAATCTCCGCTAACTTCCTAAGTTTTAGTATATTTATTTAATATTTAATTTTAAAATAAAAATAATTCTATTAAAACTACGAAGGGTTGGAGAATAATTCTATTAAGTTATTTATTTATTTATTATAGGGATGGTTGGTCAGATATGCCCGTCTCCTTTTCTATTCATTCTAACCTTCTAGAAACATTTTCAATTTTTAGAATAATTTGTTAGTCTAAGGAGAAAAAAAACTAATTTTTGGAGAATCCTTTTGGGTTTGGTCATATATCCTCAAGCTTTCCTTATTTTTTTGTTTATTTAAAATATAATTGCTTAATACACATTCAATAACTTTTTATTTTTAAAATTATAAATAGAGTTGAAGATTTGTTTTACTTCATTTAAATAATTTTATCATTATAATTTAATTTCAGTGATAAAAAAGTGTTTTTCTTTTTGGAAGATATGAGTTCACACGACCGTGTTTGTAGTATGTATGCATTATCAATGGATAAGAGAGATTATGAATATGTACTATCTTATAATAATCACAAACTATTTAGAAGATATTATCACTTATATATCATATAATAATAAGATAATACTTATAATCAATTTAGTGAGAATGATAATAAAATAATTTAGCTCCACGTCACTTTTAATCAACTTGTGACTAGTGATAACGATAACTGGGCGGGTACACCCTAAAATATTTTTTATCTAATAACATGAATAATTGAAAAAGCAAATAATGTGAAACACTCGATTTTGAAAGAATGGCTTACAATCAAATTTGTAATAAGAATAAATATTAATTTTTTTAATCCTTTATGTCTATTTTAGCATTTATATTTCAAATTGTATTATATATTAAAGAAATTTGGCATTCACGTGTAGTCCTGGTCCTAGTCAGCTATGGTATGCATTTAGAATGCTACCTACCCTAACATTTAAAATAAGAGAAATGGGAAGAAAAGTATTAAATAATGTAGTAGTGGACTAGACTGGACATGTTTGAAGATTGGCTCAATTGTTCTTTTGAGTTCAAGGGGCCCATGTCCTCACCAACAACTATATTTCCATTGAATCAAGTTTTTTGTTTGCACTAATCTGTGCAGAGTAGGCTACTTGTCCAGTTCTTTCAACCGTGCATATAGATGGGTTCAACTTCACTTATATAAAATTTAATCATATATATATATATATATATATATATAGCTATAGTGTCCGGTCAAATTGAGTCGGATTTTCGATCACTCCAACACGATCTAGAAAGCATATATGTTCATCTGAATCTATTTCGACTTGTTTAAAGGTACAATGTCAAAATTAGTCCTCATACGTTTATTGAAATGATTATTTTATTTCATATTATTCTTCTTCTTTTTAATATTTTGCCCCCCAACATTTTATTTTAGGACAAAAAGTCCCTAATGTTTAATCGAATTCTTACCTTGATCCTTATTCATTTTTTAGAGCATTTTGACCCTCAAAATTTCATTTTAGGATAAAAAGATATATATTTTAGAGTGATAATCATTTGCTAACCATCAATTTCCAACCACAGAGGAATCTTTGTATTTGAAAATGAAACGTTAAGAGTCAAAATACTCTAAAAAAAGAATAGTGATCAAAATAATAATTTAAGGGATTTTTTTGACATGACACCTTATTTAAAATATGATACAAGGGGAAAAATTAAGGATAGATATGAAATTCGAACCCGGCGAGTTTCGACTTGATCCGATCGAGTCTAATTTTTTTTAAAAAAAATTAGATTTGGGTCGAAATCGGATTTAGGGTTAAAATAATCTTACCCGACCTAAACAGTAAACCAATTATTTTTTTTACTTTCCCGTGCTTTACCGCTTTACTTTATTTTACTCCTTTTATGTCCCAAACAATTATAGTTTTTTTTTTTTGCTTTACTTTACTCTCCATTAAAATCTCTGACTGTGAATTCAAAAATTTTTACGTGAATTTATTTACTTGTTTATGTCCCAAAAAAAATTATAGTTTTTTTTTGCTTTACTCTCCATTAAAATCTCTGTTTATATTGATCTTATCAACTGAGCCTCACTGAATTGTGAAACTAAGCTCACACTCTATATTTATATAGTGTTTTGTTTTACTCTCCATTAAAACCTCTTCATTATTCAACCTTTGTAGGCTGTTCTTCGGAGCTTAAGGTCTCTTTTCACTCTCTTGTTTCTCTCTTCGCTTGTCGTTTTATTCTTGAATTTTGCTTTTATCTGTTTGGTTACAGAGAAAAAATGGAGTAAACTAAATTGAATCTGATTTTTTTTTTCAACGTTTGAATAGTGTATTTCTCATGTCTTTATTTGCTTCGGCTTTTTTGGTATCGTCTCTTCTTTGTAATTGTTGTTGTTATTTGTTAGATCTGTGGTGAGTTATTAATGAAATGAGAAAAAATTAATTAAATATTGTTGTTGATACTTTATAATGCATTTCTTTTGCTCTTAAAACTCGAGAAATTGTTTATTTCTTCAGTAAGTTTTATTGTTTTCTTTGAAAGCAAAATAGTGTTTTCTTCAGTAAGTTATTTTCAATCTTTGAAAGCAAAAATTGAAGTTTGTAGTGTTGGTTGGTTCGAGTCGGGTCGGGTTTTTAGTAAATAAAAAATAAATCAGATATAGTCGGGTCGGGTTTTTAGTAAATAAAAAATAAATCAGATATGGTTGGGTCGGATTTTTAAGTTATGTATCGGATCGAGTTTGAGTCGGGTGAAATTTTATTTCGGTCAGATCGGGTCTCAGGTGAAGGACCCCTTGTTCTCGGGTCGGATGATCCAAAAACCCGACCCATGACCATCCAATAAACCCAAGAAATAGAAAATAAGCGTGGCGTCGACAATAAGTAATGATGACAAAAGTGAATCACTAACAAGATTAAATAAGCTACTAATATAGTGATTTTTTAAGGCAAAGATCATCAATACAAGAAATGTAAATCAATTATTATAGAAGCAGCATCGTAGGCAAATGCAACCAACAATCAAACAATACCATGGGAGAAGTATTTTTAATGGCATTTTTCTTGGCTAATTTTGACATCCGTCCATCTCAGTTGAGTGGCGTGACAAAACAACCTTTAAAGGCAACAATGTTCATAGGCCCATGCCAACAAGTAATTGATTCAAGGGTAAACTACATATTTAGTACATAAACTATTATTTTTGTTATATTTTGATACTGAAATTTTATTTTTTTCAAAATCACACCTAACGTTTAGTTTAGGTTTCAATTTGGTACTCGCCGTTAAAAATTAATATAAATAATGATGTGATATTATTTTATGGTGACACGTCAATATCACTATTAAGTTTTTAACGACAGGGTATAAAAAAAACGTTAAGTATGATTTTGAAAAAAATTGTATCAAAATATAACAAAAGTAATAGTTTAAGTGTTAAACGTGTAATTTACTAGCATGAAATGATGGGGTGACCAAATTGCTTTAGTGAATAGTGGTGATGTATATTGAAAGCTAAGCAGAAACAACTCAATAGTAGTAAGTCAAAATCAACATTCAACTCTTTAAAGAATTACTAATTTTCAATCTAAACGAATGAAAAACGTCTACAAACGTTTAACGATAAATTCAATGAACTCAGCAAGAAAGTTATTAAAAAATAATATGGAAGCGTTGCTCTTCTTCATACACATGCAAAATAATACTTTGTCGTATCGTAATTTTAATAATTTGTAGTTTTTAAAAATTTAATGATTAAAATGATTTTTTATATATAATTCAATAACTTTTAATATACTTTAACTAAAATATTCTGGGCACTTAAAATGGGTTGAGGATCAAGTCATGGACTAGGCCTAGTACTGAATTTGTTCAGTTAGTTCGGTTTGTCGATTATATGTTGTGAAATGTGCAAAATTCTATTGTAATCGACCAGAATAATTGATCGAGTAGTTTAAATTGTCATAATCAGGTACAATGCATGACCATTATAATATTAAGTTCAGTTTTTTTAGGTTAAAAAGTTTGGGGAACCACAACCAGCCCCATATAAAAACAATGACTAGGTGTAATTGAGCTGAGACAATTTGTTTCGAATAAGAACTTTATAGCTATCTTTAATAACAACAATAATCCTTTGCAAAGTCTAACAATTTAGAAGAAGTGAATTTGTAATGCGCAAGATCATGTGCAATACCATTGGTGGATCGTCGGATGCGAATATGAGATTGCTCAATCAATAAACGGTGTGTATCAACTAAATGAAAGTCGATCATGTAAATACCTGTATGAGGAGTCTTCAACTGTGGAATACCATTAGCGTAATCACTTTCAGTAAGAGCATGTGGATACTCCAATTCGATCGCTAACCGAACTCCTTGAGTGAGAGCATGTGGTTGATGATTTCAATATCGCGAGATCCTTGGAACATAATAGCACAACCAATAATAATGCTACCGTGAGGATCCCGAGCAAGGGCACTAATCATCAGTGATCCTGCTTCCATCAGATAAGCACCATCAACATTAATCATGATAGTATGTGTAGGGGAACTTCCAATACATGAAGACTGCCATTCTGACACGACAGGAAAGAAACACATGCTAGGGGCACTCGGAAATGAACATTAAAATTATAGAGCCCTCGTATTCACTACCTACACAGAAGCCTCCTCAAACCATGCAGAAGGTTACGGCCATAGTAACGCACAACGAACAAAACTCGACATAGTTTCCCATCTACGAACGTAGTTATAGATATCGAAGACAAGTGATACACTAAAGGAAACTGAAAAACCAAACATGCACCGTAGGCCAAACGAGACTATCGATAACCATGACACCCTCCAACCAACAGAGGGCCGTGAGAGATCAAAACCAAAACCATTGTTTTCTATTTGACACTTTTTTTATATATAATTGTAAGTTTAATCTTGACGGCAATATTTGAAGCTTGACGTTTGATTAGATTTCGATTAAATATAAAAATTTAAATTTAAATTTGATTAAAGATATAAATGAGCTATTTGAGTTTTAGTTTTATTATTAAACTTTATTTTAAGTCAATTACCTGAGTTTGATAAAATACATTTATATCTAAGTAAGTTTAAATTAAAAATTCATTAATAAAGTAAAATAATATAATATATGATTTATATTATTTTATTTTATTTTCGTATGAAATGATGGATGAGTTTGATGTTATTGTAGCACGTTTTTTTAATTAGATTATATTTTATGTCGTCTCCGTCTCCCCGGTTAAAATGTAGTGTTTTATTATATGTGTGATGTAACTTATTCTATCATAGTTCATGGCAAATATGGCATCCACGACAAAAGGGCCAAAAGCCCAAATCAATCGCATTCGCAACCTTTATTGACCTCATGGTAATAGCGTGTCTGTTGTTATTTCGGCTAGCTTCAAAGTCGGACAGACCATGGCATAATGCTGCTTCATTCTCTTGCTTCTCCAGCTTGGTTGTGTAAGAGTTCCTTTTCTTCCCAATTCAATTTTATTTCTTCTTCCGAGCTACGGGCTACTTCCTCTTCTGCCCGTAGCTCCTCCTCCCCGCTGACGCTCTCAATCTTCAGTTTCCCTCGTCACTATCCCATCTGACCGGTGTGTTCTCTTCTCTTTGCGATGGATGCTTTCTATTTTTTATTTTTTTATTTTTGCTTTCTGTTTTGATTTCGATTTCAGTTCTTTATTTTCTTGTACAAATGAATCTTCGAATACCTTGAGTTTGCGAATTAGATATCCAACAATCCTTGTCCTGGATCGTGCTATTCAATTCGGTAATAGAATTCAGGAATCTCTCTTATTTGCCTAATGATTGCGTGGATTTTGTTTCGTTTATGTTGTCTCAGGTATCGTTTTGCTAGGGAGCTGCCGTGCCGTATTGATATCTGGTTATATGATATGAGCCTATTCTGGCTTGAAATTATAGTTTGCTGCATGAGTAGGTAATGAAGGGTTTTCATGAGAGGAATGATTTTCTGAAATTCTCTTCTAAAACTTCTATTGATAGCTCACCTACCTCTGGAACTGGATTAGAACCAGGTCCCAGCGACGCTAAGTTCTCGAAGACTTCTATTTGGTCAAATTTATTTGCTTCTGCTTTCTCAGTCTTTGACGCAATCAGTGAGTCATTGACGTCATCTTCATCAATTGCGGCTTGTGAAAAGAAGGCCTCGTCTTCTCAAACCAATGGGTGGACAGCAGCTGTGAAGAGGGCTGTCTCCGGTGGCTCAATGAGGAGAATTCACGAGCGTGTTATGGGGCCAAGCAAGGTTGGAATGTCTAGCTCAACTAGCGACATATGGCTTCTAGGCCTGTGCTATAAAATTTCACAGGAGTCATATGGAGATGTAGATGCCACTAATGGATTAGCTGCATTCAAACATGACTTTTATTCTCGAATACTGATGACATATCGTAAAGGTATTTATCATCAAGTTTTCTCTTCACATGATGCACAATTATAGCTAGTTTTCTAAGTTGTTCATTTACAGGTTTTGATGCTATTAGCGGCACAAAAATCACAAGTGATGCCAACTGGGGTTGCATGCTCCGAAGTAGCCAGATGCTTGTTGCACAGGTATATTTTCGTTTTATTTTATTTTTCTCTTGAAAATGTTCAAACAAGTACCAGGGTATGAGTATGACTTTTCATGAAAAGTTGCATTGCCTGTTATATTGGGTTTATTTTAGCGAGTTCATGTAGTGGTTTTCATCCTTTGCAGGCATTGCTTTTTCATAGATTAGGGAGATCTTGGCGAAAACTTCCGCAAAAGGTGGTTTGATTTATTCTCGGTGCCAGTTCTTGTCTATCTCTTCTTACTCATCTAGGATTTAGATTATAATTCTAATTGAACAAAGAGTAGAGTGTTTTCTTCTTTGACACCTTGTTGCCTATGCAGCCATTTGACCAAGTATATATTGAGATATTGCATCAGTTTGGTGATTCTGAGGTTTCAGCATTCTCCATCCACAATCTTGTTGAAGCTGGAAAGACTTATGGACTTGCTGCTGGGTCATGGGTAGGCCCATATGCCATGTGTCGTTCATGGGAATCTCTTGCTCACGGTAAGACAGGGGAAAAAGACCTGGAACGCCAGGTACTTCCTATGGCTGTTTATGTTGTATCTGGTGATGAAGATGGTGAGAGAGGAGGAGCTCCAGTTGTCTGCATTGAAGATGCTTCTAGACATTGTTTTGAATTTTCACGGCACCAAGCTGACTGGACTCCTATTATTTTACTTGTACCCTTGGTTCTTGGACTTGACAAAGTAAATCCCAGGTTTGTGATGTTATGCCATTTCTTCATTTTATTGTTTCTTGTTTGATTGAATCATCAGGCATGATCCTGTGTAAATTGACCTATCATGCTTGTGTCAAGTAGTTTTCTATCACTGAATTTTTCTTCAGTCCAGTGCAATCTCCAGGACACCTATGATTGCTATAATCGAGACCTCCTCTTCAAGTATTATTCCATACTTCACTAATCCACTGAGTAGTGAGAAGATAAGATTTCTTACACACCTAGTTGTTGCTAATTAATCTAACTGGCACATTTATAAATTCCTTAGGTAACAGCATTGGATCAATTCTAGGTCAGTTTATCATAAAATGGGTGCTGTCTCCTCCTGAGCTGCGACTATTTTGAAGATGATGAGTGCATTTATTTAGTGAAATTTAGAGAAGGAATTAAGTGGGGAATTATGGACCGAATAGGAACTTTTCCAAAGGAGAAGTTTAAGACTAAGGAAACCTTTACACTATTTTGAACCCCCTCTGTTGCCTACTGCAAAAGATGGATTGAAAAGTGTCTTGAATGGGTTTTCAACTTTTAATGCTACACATATTTGCCAGAATTGGTTGTAACAAAGTAAGTAATCCATTTCATTCCAAAATATGATGAGTAAAAGTTTCTATGGATGCAATTATTATTTACTTCATTCACTGGTAAGTTACGCAGAACTGAAAGAATATTATTTACGACCACCAGTGACTACAGCTATTTTATCATTTATGATCACATCCACAATATATCTTTTTTTTTTATAGGAATCCACAATATATCTGATGTCTCTTAGAATTTGGTTGTGATTTCTCTTTTTCTAAACGAACGCTGTAGTTGCTTTTAGCTTTCAGGAAAGACTTTTATGCTTTTTTGTTTCTTGCAAGTAGTCTTCATTTTCAATTTATAGTGTAATGGCCATCTTACTTTGTATGTATCTGTGTTCATTTTGTACAAATGAAAGTCCATCAGTTTTAGCTATACCAAGGGGGGTCGTTCTCTCTCATTCAGTAATCTAATCCCATCCTACTCTCCCCTAGATTGACCTGACGTGTCTAGGAAGAATTCTCAGTTCAACGTAGTGTGCATGCCTGCATTTCTTCATACACGTGCTGCTTACTACATGTTGATAAGATGGATTCGGGTGCTTTTGTTAAGATAAGAAAGTCTTCTATTCACATTATTCAGGAACTGAAGGTTTCTAGTATGTCACTTTCTTTACCTATTTTCAAATACATATTCCCTTCATTCCAAAATTGGTGGTCTCATTTCTATTTTCAACTTTTAAAAATATGTACCCCCTCCGCCCAACCCACAGACACAAAAAAAGAATGTTGAGAATATTTTCTATCAAACTTCCAGCTTCACCGCTGCCATTATGGTATTTATACTCTTCATTTTCCTTGAAGTGTTCTTGTTACACATTTTTGGATATGACATATGAGGTTATGATGCTTCAAATATTTTAAAATTTGGAAAGATATTGTCAAATCCTTGTCGGACACATCTATATTTAATAATTAATACTCATCTCCTAGTCCTAGTAACATGGCATCAATAAGATCTTAAAGAAGAAGAAAAACAGTAACTGTTAAATGTGCAAGTGGTGTTATCCATGTGAGTGCATTACATTTTTCCTCCCTTTGAGCTGATAAAAAAGTGGCTGCTTACTTGGAGTTGGTAAAACATTTGTTATTCTTCAGGTTAAGTGAGAAGAACAGATTAGTACTCGTTGGCCCTCACAGAAACAAGTAGCATTACTGTAATCAATTATAAATTTGAACTCAAACTGCTATATTTCTAATCACTTGGAATTTTCTTAATTTTTTTTTATCAGGAATGTTCCATCACTGCAAGCTACATTCACCTTTTGAAACTGCCATATTTCTAATCACTTGGAATTTCCTAATTTTTATTTCAGGTATATTCCATCACTGCAAGCAACATTCACCTTTCCGCAATGCCTTGGCATTTTGGGCGGGAAACCTGGTGCCTCGACTTACATCGTTGGTGTTCAAGAAGAAAATGTTTTCTACCTTGATCCACATGATGTTCAACCGGTAAATTCCTTGTTGCTTTAATTTACCACTCGTTTCACTCTCTTGTTCTTTTAAATGTGATCTAGATTGATAGACTTGTCTGTGAAATTGGTTATTTTAAATCCTGAAGCCAGTCATTCATCATCCATAGGCATTATAATGAAGGGGATCTGAAACATTGTTTTTTAAAGCTTCCACAACCCCTTTAGTGATGTAGCGCTGAAATATAAAATATACAGTGAAAACCTGAACCATGGGTAAAAGATTACTTGGAATAGAAGTCGGGAGAATAGAATGCTAAAATCTTTACATTTCCAATTATAAATGATTGTTGAATGTGTCTGGAAGACTATTTATACTTGAGTTACAATAGCTTTTACTGCTAACCTTCACATACTTATTTCTGGTTTCTCTTTCCTTTCAACCACTAAGTTTTCTGACAAATAATGGTTATAATTGCATAGACAATGTAGAATGTCACTCAGTCTCTAAAACAATGTTGAATATCACCATGTGATTTTTAATTATGGTTACTGGATCTTCCCAAAGGTTTTCAGTTAATGTAGAGTGGATCAAGCGTACAATATGACTTAAATTAGTATCAAGATTGTCTAACTTGGCTAGACTTAAGAGTTAATAAGAGACCAAGAAGCACTTTTTCATTTTTTTGCCAGTACTTTTATTTATATATTGTTGCTTTTTCCATTGATTTTACTTGGAATGGTTCTTGGTTTGCTTGACTATTGGTTGAGATAGTAAGAGAAGAAGGTTCTTATTGATTGAAGCCCGAATCTGAATTTAGCAGTGGCTTTATCAGTTTCAGTTGAACATTTGACAGACATCGTTTCTATCCCATTTGATGTTATGGTCATTTCTGGTCGCTGTCCTTTTATCTCCTTCCAAATAATACTGTCATGTTTGGAGTAAGATTTACATTCTCTTGCAGCCGTTTTGCCTAAGGAGGTTTTTGGCAGCTCATTTATATTGCCAAAAGGTGCTGTGGCCCCAAATGCAATGCCAAAACATACTGCTTTTGCTCTATGATTGCGTTTTGACAGAACGTTTGGAGCAATCCAAGGCACCTCTTAACGCAACTTTTGAAGATGATATGATCAAAAACCCCCTGGATTTATTTTTAATGACAAAATTACCCTGTTAAGTATTTAGATATTTCATCAAAATTGAAATATTTCTAATTTCTAGTTTGAACCTTTTTTTATAAAACCGAGAAGTCATATTGTGTAAATTCTTAAAATTGAACCTCACCATAATTTATGTTTTGGTGTGTCTTAACAATAATTACTTGAAGAAATGACTCGTGCTTTTCTTTTCGAAGTCATGTTCTTAGTTGCACGATAGTTTCTCAACAACTCTTTTCAAAAATGCATGACCAATCGCGAGCTTTTTTCCAATTGCAATAGCAATGCCAAATTAGAAAGCTTCTTGCATGACCATTTCCAAATGCGCCTTCGAGTTCAGATAGTATGTTTTCTGTAGCATCTTAGTTGGGTCAAAAGCAAATTTAGGAGTTCATGGTAGTTGTAGTGACACTGAATATTTTTTTTACAAGGTAGTTAATCTTATTCCGGATAATATGGAGGTGGATACATCATCTTATCACTGCGAGTAAGTATCTTTCTCTAATTAATTTACTTGTATGCTTTACATACATTGGTTCTTTTCCTCTTAATTTTCTGTCTATTATATGATCCAGCACCATAAGACACATTCCTCTGGATTCAATTGATCCATCCCTGGCAATCGGATTTTTCTGCCGAGATAAAGGTTTTGTTGTTTATCTTGTTGGTATTTATAATTTTTCATCACAGGGTTGGACCAGGCTACTTATCGACAATGAAACGAGGCTGTTCTATGTTTGTTATCTTGGCAGATGATTTTGACGATTTTTGTTCCCGGGCATCCAAACTAGCGGAGGAATCAAATGGCGCCCCCTTATTCACTGTTGGTCAAACGAATAGCGCTTTTAGGCGATTTCACCATGGCGATACCATGGCTGATGCCGGTGAGGTTCGAGCGGATGATTCCATCGGTGGAGTGGGTACAGGTGACATGGATGAAAACTGTAACGAAGATGACTGGCAGATCCTGTGATGGAATTTTCTAAATCTTTTACCGGATTGTTTATGTAATCTGAATGGAAGAACCATGACTACAGCATTTGTAGGTTGCAATGATTCTTTTCAAAAAATTTAAAAACTATTTGCCAAGCTGTTACTACGTAATTGACTAAGGTTGATTTCATTTCAACAAATTACTATTAAACTATTATTATATTAAGAAAATAGTATAATACCTCTAAAAGAAAACCGAATAATTTAGGACAAAAACAATGACTAAATTGATAGATTTTTAAATTATAAACTACTAAAATTTTATGATATTTTTTTAAAATTTGTAAATATAAACAATTAGTGTTAAATTAGGTTAGATATGTCTCTTCTTTGTATGAGTTAATTTTATGTTCATTATATTTTTTTGACTCACTTAATCTAACCTTTTTTTTATGCACGATATTTATATTCAAATTTTTATTCTATTTAAAGCATTTAGTTCTCATCGCACTATATAAGTGGATTCAAATAGGGACAAAAATAAAATTTTATGTTAGGAGTAAACTTCTAAAATTTAAGGGACAAATTTGTAAAATTTTATGAAGCTAAAAATAAATTTTTAATAATTTTTTTTAAAAAATCTAAAATATATGATTTAAATTTTCAAGGGACGATCGTTCCGCCGTCACTTTCATATATCCATAAATTCAAACACCAATAATAGAAACTTATCCTTTTAAGTATAAACCTCTAATTTTAAACTTGAATTAGGTACAAGTTGTTATGTACCTCAACCCTATTCTAAAAAGAGGTTGATTAAAAGAGTGCGGTGTTTATGATGTGCACTGTACCAGTAACTATTATGATAAAAACGTATTGTAAAAGCATTAGACTTGTTTGTTTGATGCATCAACAGCTCTGTTTTGAAAATCGGATCGGATCGGCCGGTTCTACCAGAAATAGTTGTTTATTTCGGTTCAATCTAAATCGGTTGAATCGTTATTAGTGAACCGGTTAGAACCGTTGAACCGTTCGAACCGGACCGGTTAAAAATCGGAAAAAATCAGAAAAACCGGGATTTTTGTTTTTTTAAAAAAAATTAAACCAAACAACGTCGTTTGTTAAACGAGCCAAGTCGAACTCGAGTATTGTTGAGCTCGACTCGAACTTGAAAACTTTAAAAGTAAGCTCAACTCAACTCAAACTCACAAGCTAAAAATTATCAAGTTCAACTCAAACTCGAAATATAATATTGAAACTTGAACTCAAAAAGGCTTGAACTCAAAAAAAAAATTAGAAGCTCGATTGAAGCCTAAAATTCGAGCTTGATTGAAGTGAAAGAATAACTCACTCAATGCTCACCAAAAGGCTCCATGATTTTGAATGTCAAATTACCTATATTATTTATAGAAGTTAGTTATGATGTGCTTCTATGTTTCTTAGCAATGTGAGATTGTTTTGTTATCATATTTTTACTCTTTAGACTTTTGGGATGCTCTTCTATGTTTCTTAATCATGTGAGATTATTTTTAAAAAAAAATTAAACCAAACAATATCATTTTGTTATGATTTTTTAACCCCAAATTTATTTTTTAATTATAGTTATATAATTATATTTATTATTTAATATGTTTTACCTTAAATATTATGTTGTAGTTAATTTGAATCATTTTGTTTCACTTAATTTTATAGTTTTTAATTTATATATGTTATGACTTGCTTTGAATATGACTTGTGATATAAAAAATTATTTTTTATTAAATATTTTTGATATTTTTATTTAATTTTTTAAATAATTATGACGTCGTCCGGTTCTTCCGACCGATCAAACTTATTGAACCAGTAAACCGATAGCATAACCGGTTCGTTAACCGGTCCGGAAAACCATGATCAACAGTATAAAAGTATTTGGTAAAAAAAAGTAGAGGATGCGCACGTTGAGCATGCGCTGTGAATGGAATAGCAGAAAAATGGTGACTGTGTTTGACTGCTACTTTGTCATTATTGTGGACAGGGATGGGGATAGGCTAAGGCATGTGCATAAATTGGGAAAATGCAGCAATAAGCCGAAGGGCTGCCCATTTCAGATTTGGCCTTTGTAAGTTTACCTTCTCTGACCAAACTTGTCAGTTTCCAATGTCACCTTCCCCTCCTCACCCAAATTTAGTTAACATTCAACCCTGCTTATTCCTATTCGCCTTATCTTTTTATCCTCTTTCACCCCTTCTCACTGTGGGAAGTTTGATATATGTATATATTGGTTTTTTTTTTGGGGGGTAAACCACTTTTATTTAATTTTTATTTTAATCACCTTATTATTTTTTAAAAATCATATTTAATGTTACGTTTTATTTTTATTTTAATCACTATAAAATAATAACCGTGATACACTTAGTATTGATGATATATTAATATTATTGTTAATTTTTTAATGATGAGTGATCGAAACATAATCAAAACATAATATTGGTTATAATTTGTTCCCTGTCGTTCGAGCTATCTTCTCGTTTTGTAGCCGCAACTATAATACGAAATTTCTTTGGACTCTTTGTGAAGGAAATATGGTTACCGACGAAATGGCCGAACTTCCTCTTCCACAGAACTATATACTGAACATTTTCTCTGCTCCCGCTCTCATCATGCCTTTGATTGAAAGAGAGATTCTAGGCCATCCTTAAGCCAAGTCTTTTGTAAAAGTAGTTAAGGCTTGTGCCTCTTTATCATTAAAAAAAGGTAAAAGTTGGAGTTAAATTATTTTTATTAATATTTATTTATCCTACTTTTAATAATAAGTATAAATTTATTCCTATTTGAAAATTAAAATTTTAAAATATTGAAGGAGAAGGAAAAAAAAAACTCATGGGATGTCTGTCTGTGTACGTACCAAATATTAAAGATAAGAATAAGTCACGATTGATGGATGTATTTGTACTAAATTCAGTTTCTGAAAGAAAAAAAAAAAAGTGTAAGTTTCTCGTGTTTTTTTCATCATTTTCTTGAAGGTTTAACGATCCTAATCTTGGGTTTAGATTGAGGAAAATTGCCACGACTAATTACATCAGATCAGATCTATGAGAAGAACCACCCTCTACGTTGCTGTTCTTCAACTGCGATTTCTTCTTTCTAATTTTCATCTGAAAACTCGACGGAATCTTCCTCTTCTTCTTCTTCTTCTCCGTCTCCTTTATCGTCTCCAGTTTCGGCTTCCAATGGCGCGACGAGCCCACCAGCAGCGCGTATTGCTTCTGTAATTGCGGGGTGCTGCACACTCTATTATTACTCTCACCGGCGCCTCTCTCTTCTGTTTCCTCTTTCATTCTCCCTTCTTCCATCAACTGCCGTATGAACTCACCGGACACGCGTATCCTCAAACACCCCGACGAACTCTTCTGGATAACGAAAGGTTGGCAAGCGGCGGCTTTCTTCAACACCGCGTTCCTCGACTGAGCGTCGTTGGCGAAGGAGGCAATGGAGACGAACGACAGCACCGACTGGAAGAACCGTTTGGGGAGGAGGAAGTAGTCGTGGCCGAGCTGGAGCTGGTGATGGACGGAGAGAGGAGGGACCTTCTGGCCGATGTAAAACGAATCGGAACGGCACACCATGTGGTTAGGGAACTCGGCCATGAGGTCGGAAACATTGATGGGACGGTCGTAGATCTTGACGACCCCATCGGAGTTGACGAGTTTGATGGTGGAAAGCGGTGGCTCCTGTCGCCGGGGGTGGTGGTGAAGACAGGAGATGTGGTTGCACAACAAATGGAAACGCCATGGAATTGTGTGTAGATTCAGGAGCTTGTTGATACCCATATTTGTTTTTTTGAAGATGATAAATCCTTTTTTCATAGATTCAGAGAAGGTATATGTGGAAATTGGAAAGAGAGAATCACGTGGGTGAAATTGCAAGTGGGGATTGGGAAGAACAGCGGATAGTGAAACTAAATTATAGACGGAGGGAAAAAAGAGACGTCTTTTGCTTACTTTTTTTTAGATTTTGTATTCTCAAAGTTTGACTTTGACACTCATGACTCAAAACCCAATTGGATCGATTGCATGTCATCCATTATTTCCTGCCACTTTGTTTTTTTTTTTCTTTCCAATCAGATCCCGCCTACTCTGTCCCCCACACTACTGTTTACTTGTTTTATATTAGCGTAAAGAATACAAATAGTTGATAATAGATTCTTGTTTTATTGATTATTTCTATTATTAAAAATTATAAAATAATTATTTAACTATTTGTATCTTCAAAACTTATTATTTTTGTTAAAAATTAATGATCGTTTGAATTAGATGTGAACTTGTTAGTTGAGATAAGATATATCTGATCTCAAAATTGTTTTAGATGTTTTTTGGATCGACTATACGTTTACATTATTTCCTTGAACTAGTGTTTGAAACATTAAAATATGGTTTTATCACAACTCAGTCAACATGTTAACATCCAGCTCAGATGACAACTAATTTTTTTAACGAAAAAAGGATGAGTTTGATACACATGAATAGTCAGATGATCATTTTGTAACATTTAATAATTAAAAGACTCAACAAAACATCCTATCAGGAAAAAAATATTCTATAACATTTAATAGTCGATGACTCAACAAAACAACAACTATAATCAATGAATCATTTGTATACTTTACACTTTATTTTATTTACATCCTATTATTTATTTTAAAATGGGGTAAATTAATATTAAGTCAAGAGTTTTTTTATCACTCGATTATTATTATTTTTCATAACCATAACTAATGTTTTATTTTTTAATATAATTTTTGACTTAATATTTTCTTTTCATTTTGGTTTTAGATGCATGGCATTAAAGAAACAATTTATGTGACTTGTCACGTAAGTAAAGATTTTTTTTTAAGGGAAAGCTTTTCAAACGTAGTTGTTATCTAGGCATACTTTCATATTATGTGGTTTAAATGAATGTCATTCTAAAAAATAATATTGTTATATATCATCTATCATGAAATTGTGCCCTACTGTATGAGGCGAGTATAGAGGCAATGAAAGCTTCCTTAGAATTTGGTGGGGTGATTTGATGGTAGTGTGTACATTCGGTAGCAATAAACGAGGGCATAACAATATCAATAGTATATTTGTTTTCTCAATCATGAATTTATTAAAAAAATATAAATATCGTCAGTGACCTCTAAAGTATATATTAAAAGTTCTCAGTTGCATAATTTTTTCATAAATTATAAGTTTAATATTTATTATGAGTATTTATTTTATTTTCTTAAATAGTAATTATTCAAAAATAATAATATAGATGTCGAATTTTATATTTCTCTGATAGGAATTTTTAAGTGTATTTATTAACAATTCAAAATGGAATTCATCTTATAATTTTTTATAAAAGTGTAAAGAATAATAAGTAAATAAGAATTTATTGATATTTAGGAGTAACGGTGAGTATTTGACCAAATGTAGTCAAATCAAGTGAAAAAATTGAGTTAGTCGAGTTTATAAGTATTATTTTATCATACAAAATTTATTTAAAATTTATTCAAGTTAAGTTGAATCAAATATATTTGTTTCAGTTTTTATTCAAATTAAAATATAACTATTCATAATATTATAGTACATATTGGTATATATTCATATTTTTTACATGTGTAAATAAGATTTATAACGTCATTTATTAAATCAAATACCCTCCAAATTATAAATATATTTATAATGTTATTGCTTAATGAAGGAATTTTGGAGATAAAGTATTGACGATAGTATAAAGGAGTGAATGAATCGATAATAAGAAATAATTCATAACATGCTATATAGTTAGAGGATCAAAATGAGTAAAATATAAAATTTAAGGACTAGATTAAAAATATTGTCACAAAGAAGAATTCAAGTTATACAACTATTCTACAATAATCGAAGAATATATAGTTTAAATTTGATAAAAAAATTATATTAAAATGAATAAAGAATTAAAATAAATAAATTAGAAACAAAATCTTAAAATATTCGAATTAACATTTTTGAGTTTAACTAAATATTTTTCACTCTTTACAATCTCCTGATTAGAAGTGAGATGCCTTATCCATTAGGCCATGGGTGCTTGTTGAAAGTGAAACCTATATATTCATTTTGATATTATTAAATAGTATTCTCTTAGAGACATCAAATTAATTAAATGTTACTTAAGATATGCTATTATTCGATTCATTTGATTAGAATGTTAAATTTTATTATTTTATTAATATAGATTACCTAAAAATATATTTTATTTTGGAATGAGTATTTAAATAAGTTGAGTCGATGATATATTTAAGTTAGTCGAATTTACGAATATCGTTTTATCATTCAAACTTTATTTATATTTTTTAGTCAATTTTTTTGAAATTTAAGTCAAATCAAAAATATTTTTTGAGTTTATATTCAAATTTAAATATAATTGTTTATAATATTATGATACTAATTGATTCCAATTTAAATGTCACTCTCTAACCTCATATATATATATATACATACATGTATAAGTAAAATTTGTAATATTATTTAAGAGAATAATATTGTCTAAAATTATATAATATGTTTATAATTTTATTATTTTTCAAAAAAAATTGAAGATAAATTACAAAGAGTCACGATTGGATTACCATATTAAATAAAATTAAGGAATTAAATTAATATAATAAATTTATTGTAAAAAATATTAATTGAATTTGTAAAAGTTTTCTATAATGATTGAAGAGTATGCTATTAAAGGTTGATAAAAAAAATATAATTGAAACGAAGGGAGAATTGAAGAAACGAGAAAAACATATTCCAAATCATAAAACAATCAAATTACTTAATTAAAGATTAATATTATATCATTTTAATTTTAATTTTTTGTTATTTTAATTTTATAGATTCAAACTCGAACTCCAAACTAAAAGTTGAGTTGGCTAAAAACAATCGTACATTTAGAATAGTTTAACTTAAATAACTTAGAAATTAGAAAATCGATTTTATTGAGTTGACTCAAATTTTGTCACTCCTACTTAGCTTTTGCAAAACCACGTGGTAATTGGATCTGAATGTAAATACGTGTTGAAACTACCATTGTAATTGTAAGTCTCGTTGAATTGAGAGTAAATGGGAGCCTTCAATTAGTCTCTTTTTATTTTTTTTTCATTCTTCAATTTTATAATTAATATTATTTTAAAATTTTATGTAATTATAATGTGTAGTATCAAACATGATAGAGAATTAAGACGCAATTATATTTTGGGAGTCAAACATGTCTATATAATTGGAATTCCTTGCAAATACACAAATTTTATGTAATTGTTATGATGGTAATTTTATGATTCGAATTTTTAATTTAAATTAAAGGTTAAATTCGTACTTGTCATTAGATCAAACAACAATATTTTATAATTATATAACCTATATTTGTTCCCAGAAATATTAATTAAACCAATGCATCGTAGAAGCAAAAATAGTATAACTTTAGTATTATCATGATGACAAATTCTTGAAATAAATTACATAAAAACATAGTTCATATGAATACAGAAGGCCACCCAACAACGAAGCTTGAAAGAAATGAATGAAAAGCACCCCAACATGATCCATCTCATGTACTTGCTTTTATATCATTATAGTACTGGAAATCATATGTTGATTTAGGGTTTTAAATTATAAATTTAGACGTCCCTGTCTCTCCTGCACTCGGGAGGCATGGTAGGGTATCGGCTCCTGTCGTTGCAATAGTTGTAGATGGTGTACTTGCTGCGGACCCAGGCCAGCCTCCTCCATTGGTACGAGTCCAGGTCCTGGAACTCCTTTTGGTCCCACCACCGCTTCCCCCGTGTGGCACAGAACTTGGCTTCCACGGATGACTCGCACCCATCGACGTGGAACCCCTTGTAGGCTGCTACGAATGGTGCTTTGGACCAATCTGTCTTCTCCAGACCACCCCTCGTGGCCCAGTCGTCGGCGTTCCACAGGCTCGAGTATATCTTCATCGGATGGTTGAATGGGAATCTCACCCCCAAATCTTTGCAGTTCTTGAACACTCTAATCGGCACGTCATCGACAAAGAATCTGTCCCATATGTTTCAAAAACATTACTTTAGAAAAAGATTCAACATAGATTGGAAAAATAAAGTGCATTTCCAGGAGCAATCAATTCCCCCATTGAAAGTCGTAAAAGTAAGCCAACTACTCCATGGCTAAAGTTAAACCTGAAAAATCACCAAATGTTGAAATTTAAACACGAGACTTACACAATCTGGTAGAGATTCCAGAGGACAGAGTAGGAGTGGTAGTCTTTGGTTGGGTCGAACCAAAGATAAATCCTTTGTTCTCTGTCACCCTTTCCTCCGGTGAACACATTGGTCTGCAGAATGTATGGCTGTCCTGTCCTGTTCCCCAGGAACTCGAAATCTATCTCGTCATGCTCCGAGTTTAGAGAAGATAACTGCGATGCCAGTAGTGACCGATCAGTAAACCTTAAGCATTATATGAAGAGATTTAGGCAATGGGATTGCTTTTTTTTTTACTCACATAAAAGGCAGTAACAGTTCCGGCAGAATCTCCGGGAACCATCTTGATTTGCATACTAAAATGACCAAACAAGTAAGACCCTTTTGACTGGAAACCAGTACCTTTCATAGCAGAAAATATAAGATACATTATAGGAAGAGAATAGAATAGAGGCAACAGACACTAGCTTGGTTATTATATTCATACATACCAGTATACTTGTCAAGGTGAAGCTCGATATTGGAGCCACCATTGTAGTACTTGATATGATCAAAAGCCCAAGTAGGCACATAGTTCCTCCCGAATGGGACCGCTACTGGCTTTCT